GGTGTTTGGAGGTGGCAGGGTTGTGTACCCGATCGGGTATATAAGGTACCCGATCGGGTATTTTAGGCAGTTTCCCGGAAAATCACTTTTCTAGACATACCCGGTTGGGTATGTAGGCATACCCGGTCGGGTATGAGCCAAATCTTCAAAATCCTGCACGTTTTTTTGTCTCTCCAGATTCTGATTTTGACACCCGAATCAACTCAATACCCGATCGGGTATTGCCTATACCCGACCGGGTATATGAAATATTTTCTCAATCTTCTTTTTATCTTGTCCCCTTGTACCTTCCTTGATCTTTTGGGGTCCAATCTTGATCCTTTGGATGATCTTGACTTGTTTTAAGTTCAGAATAATCCTAATCTAAACAAATTACATTTATATAGGAAAATAAACTAATTACACCAAAAGTGTGTAATTTTCCAAACAACAACAAATAAAACTAGTTAAAATAGAAATAATACATAATAAAAATACAACTCTATCAAGGGCATTCGACACAAACTAGATGTTTTTAAAAATTGATTTTTTCAATATATAATTTATTTAGTGGTGTTTTTTTGCTAACTCAATAAGGGCAAATTTTCCCTTTATAGGAACCGTTAGGAATTATATTATTCTTTCCAATCGCATTAGTTATCTTGAATTCTGTCCATTTTTTTTTATTAATAATAGGAAAGTGGTATGTCAATTTCCTCAAACACATATGGGTATGTATCCTTGACTGAGTGAGTCGATCAGTAAGTTTAGATTAGGAAGAAATTGCGTCCATACATTTTTAGAGAAGCGAGAGTTGCAACAACCTTGTACTGGACTCTTCATCGTTCTTATTCTTGTAGGTATTCAATATGACCATAATTGCTCTCTTCTTCTCTGTTAATCCATGTATATATATGTGATTGTTGAATAAAAGTGGATATTCAATTGGAATCAAAGTCAACCGTGTACTGGTTGAGTTATATATGATTTTCTGGACTTCGTTGTTAGAGTAAACAAGTTTTCGTAAAATTGCAAACCGGATTAGCGTTTTGATCATATATTTTGTTATGTTCATTATTTGAATTGATTCCTTGATAGAAGTTGTAGCTCTTAAGGAGATGAATCCACAACATTTTGGATCAACTGATTTGGTTCAGCCAATCAAAAGGTACGATTTATGTAAGACAGAGGTTTCCTAAAACTCTGTGTTCGTAAAACAAACTTGTGTTTGAAGGATGCCCGTGGGGGGTGGGGTGGTGGTGGTGGTGCAAACTTTCGATTTTGAATTACAGGCCGAAATCCTATGTGCGCGAGAGGTCCCTCTGCTCCATCTCTTTTTACTCTTACGAAGAGAATGTTCCATATGTATAGGCTCAAACTTTTCCTTAGAGTTTAAATGTGGGAAAAGTTTACAAACTTACTTCTTCTTCTACTTGAAAAATTACACTTTGCCTACTACTCACTCAAGACCTGGTTTTTGGCCCATTTCAAACTTTGAAGTCCAAGTAGGGGTGGACAAATGGATAGAAGAACCACAAATCGGGTCGGACAATATCGATTTGGGGTGGGTTAGGGTCAGATTCCAATTTTAAAAATTTTAAAAAAAGGTGGGGCGCGTACTCCAATAATTAGTGGCACAAGTTTAAAGAAATGAAAGATGCATCTCTTAATTCCATAAAAAAAATTCTTGTCACTTTAAAGGTTTTATAATCACTACATGTTGTACTCCGTATATAATATTGAATGTTGATTGACTGCTCACTATTCCCAATCACACAAGCATATCACTTTGATCCATGTTTGGAACATTAAAATTTTCACTCAATATGAACAACAAGAAATGTAATAGATTAAACGTGAAACAAAGCACATAACTTGTTTGCTTAATAATGACACACAAAAATTCTCAAACAAAGCAAATTGTGAATGCTTGAAACAAAGAGAAGCAGCGCAGTGTGAATGCGTGAGTGCAAGGAATGTGAAGATAACACACTTGGAATGAGAAAGCACTCATAAACGTAAAACATGGACCTAAAACTCTGTATTAGATGGGGACTTTTTCAAGTGCTGAACTTCGCCAAAGATGTAATTTCAGTATCAAATGCTTAAAACAATTGTTTTAATATCATTTTTTAAATATTAGTAGATGGCAAGCCAATGGTGTAATGACATCACTGCTGATCTCCCAAATAGGAGGTCGCAGGTTCAAGTCTCATCCCAATCAAGGATGTTGGCATTAACAAGAGCAGATACTATAATAGGTTTAGAAGAATGTTCCAAGAACAAAAAATATAAGTAGGTGGCAATGATATTGTTTTAAGGGAAAATTGTCAAATAAGTCCATCTACTTTTACTAATAAGCCAGTTGAGTCCACATACTTTTTGATCAGTCAATTAAGTCCACAAAGTGTGAAAAATTAACCAAATTGTCCATTTGGCCGGTAATCGGTCGGTTTTCCGGTCAGATTGTTCAGCTAGCTTTTTTTTTATTGTTTTCCAATTTTTTTTATATTTTCTTTTCCTTTTTCTTTCTGTTTTTCTTCCTTCTCCTCCACTCCCAATTACCCAGTCTTTCTCCGCTTCCATTCCGATCCCTGCTTTCTTGTTTCCGGCCACCTGCAGTCCGTTTCTACCATCTCCCCATTTCTGCCGCCCCACCTCCGAACCACCACCACGACCTCCGCCTCCGCCACCCCGTCCTCCATAGCTGGCATTGAAGCGACCTCCAACCGCCCTGACCTCCGTAAACGCCGCACCCGACAACCACGCCGGTCCGCCCCTACGGCCCTACTATACCTCCGTAGTCCGTAGCTTCCCCCTCCGCCACTCCTACCTCCATAGCCGCCACCGCCCCAGTCTTCATAGACTGGTGGATCCGCCTAGGGGAGAAGATTGAATGGCTAAGGTAAGCCAAGCTCCTGGTCTGGTGACGGCTAGAGTTGGACTAGGCGCAGGAACCAAGAAAAGAAAACTAGAGGAAATAGAAAAATGAATTAAAAGAAATATTATAGGTAGAAAATACGGAGTACTAAAAATAAGAGCCAGTTGGACAATTTAACCGGAAAACCGAGTGATTACCGGTCAAATGGACGATTTGGTTATTTTTTGACACTTCATGGACTTAATTGACTCATTTTAAAGTATGTGGACTCAATTGACTTTTTGATAAAAGTAGATGAACTTATTTGACGGTTTTCCCTTGTTTCAATATCATTGCCTATTTTTAAAACATAAGTAATGGTAGAAAAGTGTAGCCTGGAAGTAGTTAATATGATATTTCTTCTTGTGATAGTAGAACTTTCAGTTATTCAAGATATTGCTTTGTTTTCAAAACTTAAAGAAAAACTCGGTGGAAGAAAAGAGTACATAAATTCGATTTGTCTTAATATTATTATTATTATTATCATATAGGGATGCAAATTTAACCATCATATATCTCATCATAGGTAGGGATGGCAATTTAACCCGATCCGATGGATACCCACACCGAACCGAACCGGTCAAAATGAGGAAAACCACTTTGACTGGGTAACGGGTAATGGGGCGGTTATGGGTTTATACCTACCCGCCCCGTTACCCGCCCCGTTTAATTTGGATACGGTTACCCGCACCATTACCGGACCCGCACAATTAACTTATACATTTTAATAGTTTATGTATTTATTATTTAATATATTAAGTATATATAAATATTAGTACATTAATATATGACACTTATTCCCTCTAGTACTTTGAAACAATATTCAACTTTTCGGCTATCCTTTACAATTCTGATGAGTTGGTGCTCAAAGTTCACTATTTTAGATTTTAAATTTTCAATATCATTCATCATCCTTCCTTTGTTAACTTCTATAATATTCCTTCAAAAAAACTTCTACAATATTTATTTTCTTCACATATTGATAATTTGATTTTCATGACTTTCTTTACGCAATTTCCACATTGTGACTCTCTTAGTTTTTCACCCAATAACTTTCATAAAACTCACGTACGAGTTTAAAGTCAAAATATTGCGAAACATTACTCTAGCTTGCTTTAATTTATGTAATTGCTAATAATTTTGTAAAGGTGTATTGGATGATTAGATTAATTTTGATTGGTTGCTCTAATTTATATCAAGTTTTAAAATTTAAATTATGTTTTTTTCTAAAACAGTAACTACAAGAATACCTAAATCATAGTATTAGAAGTGCCTTTTAAATAATTCCAAATCTATAATCAAAATAAAAGTTGTGGACAAAAATGCGTCTCTAGTAACTTTAGTGTTTATAATTTTATTCAAATGTTATGTCGTAGTGATTACAAAACTTACTCATGGTAACTTATTGTGACACCGCACCCGAACGTCCTTGAAAATTCGATTTAAAAATTTAACATTTATGTATTGAATTTTCGATTGTCAAACAATTGTAAAACGATTAATGTTTTACGTAGTGCATGACTGAATATCGTGCTGTTCAACTCGTATGATAGTGTCGGGTTTGCAAACGCTTTTCGGGAATTATTAATAAATAAAAGAGCTCAACATTATCTAAATAAGTGATCGAATGATTAAAGAAGAATACCAATGCCTACAACCCTATCTTTGGCATTTTTGAGCTAAATAATGGGAGTAGGATTTTCCTTCTATAATATCCATCAAGTAAATTATTGGGATGAGCCTACACATATTGGAGATCAATAATGTGATTTAGGAAGTTGACTTGTTCTAAATAAATTAGGATGAGTACAAAAGGACATCTTTGACAAAGATAAAACAATAGGACCCATTTTCCCATTTTTGGAAGTATTGGTAGATATTTTGGACCTCAAATTGATTGGGATCAATTGGGGGGCATCCCATGTGGCTTGAGTACCTGCAAGACAAGGAAAATGGGTGAGAAGACTCACCTTGGCCGCACCACATGGAGGAGCATTGCCCATGACACAATTGGGATCAAATTTTGGGGCCACCACCACTGTTTTCGCACAAACAGGTGTGCTGTTTTGTCTCCCTTCATGAGTGAGGTTATACTCGGCCAAATGAGGTGTATAAGGTGTCCTTGGATAGATTTTGAAGTCTATTTTTATAATTGAGTGGTCTCTGTTCGAGAGGAGAGAGCAATCATCCAAAAATCGATCTGGAACGAGCAGTGGTCTGTGAACTCGAGCTGTGGGAGTGCTGGGACTGTCTGGTTGATATCTCGAGTTTTAACAATCCAATTTAAGCGTGTGAGATACCAAAAGAAAGCTCTCAAGACGAGGAATCCGTGAAGGTCTGGTTTGCATCAATCGGAGTTGTGGAAGGCTTCCAAATCGTCCGAGCAAAACACAACCTCGCAGGAGAGGATTTAATCTTCTAAAGAAACGAGTTAACCGGGAAACACCCGTTCTAGGGGCTGTTTTCGTATCAACGATTGAGGGTTGAACTAGCACTTTGAGGAGGCTGTTTAACACTCATATTTGAGCAAGGAATTAGTTCCAAATCCACCTTGACCAAAGCTTTGACCATTGGACCAAGAAGGGAAAGTTTAAAGCTCAATTGAGGTGAGGATTGACATCTAATTGCTTACAACTTGTAGGTTAAGCATGAGATTACCTAAATGCTTAAATCATTATTTTTCATGGATTATGATGATCATATATTGATGAAATATTGATATAGTTGCCAAAGAATGAAATTTGAAATGATTTGAGAATGTATGAATAAAATGAGATTTGATGAGTATAAATGAACTATTTTTGCGAAATAGGTATTTTGCTCATGTATGAAGTATTTGGATACATAAATGAATATTTGTGTATTGAGATTGAATACTTAAGTTGCTGCTACATAATTATAATTATGTAGAGAATTACAAATAAAGAGGATAATGGTATGATAACAATAATCTTAATAGTATTGAAATACTAGTTAGTGATTATTGGGACTTGTTGATTAAATTGATCCTAGGGATTGGATTGTATGAAAGGTACTTGAATATAGTTCAAGTGTATATAATAACTTAGTATGGAACTAAGGTTAAGTTATGGGAAGTCTTTAAGGATGACCCATGGCAGTTTAATGATATGTCAATTCTAGGCATAGGGTTGCTTGAGAATTGGACCTTAATGCATGGTGATGTAGTAGAGCCGAGCTCTAGAATGCATGTAAGGTGTAGACTTGTAGTCTATGTATTGTATAGCTAGAGCCGAGCTCTAGGGCTTGCGTGGTGATGTAATAGAGCCGAGCTCTAGAACGCAAGGTAAGGAATTGACCCGAGTGACATGAATTGTATGGTGATGTAGTAGAGCCGAGCTCTAGAATACAATGTCATGTGTTAGGGTTGGACTCTATTGGGTATCGTGGTTTGTAGCCACGGGAAATGGGAATGGCGATTTCTAAATGAACATGGGCCCACGGGCCGACTACTTGACTTTTACCTAAAGTAAGTATATTTTCAAATGGGTAACTTAGGGTTACAATCATAATATACTATCACCCTATTTGAGGGTCTTGTGCTTGAAATACTTGTTGTATATCTATTAGATGCCTGCCACACCAGTACTTTATAGCCGTATAGAGTACTGACCCCTTCGGGGGCGTCCCACCACCATTTCAGGTTGAGGCTAGAGCTTGCTTCCTGTGCTCGTTGCCCGAGTGATTTCCCCGGAGAGAAGACTTGGTTCGTGCTTCCTCCATTCAGTTTTAGAACATTAATAAACATGCTCATGGATATTTTACTTTAGAGCCTGCGTGCTCATGTTTGCCCTGTGTGGCCCTTTGTTTTAAACAATGTTTTCCGCTGCGTATTGAATTACTTATTATGTATGTTTATGGATGACTTTTGTGTGAATGATATTCATGACGCCTTGTATAATATGAATGTGTTGGACTGCGGTTGACTATTCGTATTGTACGGCGGGTTGTTGACGTGTCCGGGGAGGTCCGGGGCGTGACAATTAAGTTGGTATCAGAGCCTTAGTCCATAAACTTCATAATGAAGTCTCAAAATTCTCTTTTTGAAAAGATTTTGAAAACCATGAGCATAGAAGTTTTGTACTTGGAGAGCTTTTGGTACTTGGGTTGCAAGGTCTCTAATTGTTAAGATGGTACCCTTAGCAATTGGTATGGCGGTGACTCGAGCCAAAATGTGTCTTAAGTACTTATCCGTCAGTTGACATTTGATACGAGTCTAACGACTCTTTCCAAATTTCTTTCAGAAATGGACCGTGGTGGCAGGATTACTAGGAGAAACCCGACTGGCCGTGTACTAGTGGAGGCTGGACAGGGCAGTCGAACGACCTCTAGGGCATCTAGAGGAGCTGGCCGGGGAGGCCGATCACAGACCGTGAGTGACGGTCATGTCGACACAGAAAGTGAAACCTTGACATTCATGTTATTTCCATGTTTATGTTTGTGCTTTTGATTAGTTTTGAGTGATTATTACTCTAGAAATTACACACTTTTGGTGTAATAGTTTAGTTTGTAAAATGTTTGTAAATTGTTTAGATTAGATTTGTTCTGAGCTCAAACAGGTCCAAGACCACTCTAGGGACCATTGGTGAACATCACAAGTGGAAGGAAGGTGCAAAAATTCCAAAACAAAATGAAGATCCTGATTTTTGGTATTGTACCCGGTCGAGTATACCCTATACTCGATCGGGTAAGTTGCTGAAAAGTCAAATCGAATCAACCCGGGAACAAGGCAACATGCAGGAAGATTTTTAACTCGATCGCGTATCCATACCCGATCGGGTAGCCGACATACCCGATCGGGTATGACCCCAGATTTTCAGTTTCGAGGAAACTAACCCTTACCCGATCGGTCGAGCTGAAAACCCGATCGGGTACACGACCCTGCAAGCCTAAAAAGCCTATAAATACACCCCATTTCCTCCACAAGAAAGGCACCAATTCCTTTATACTCTTAAGCTCAGTTTAGAATAGCATTTCTTTATATTTCTTTTAGCATGTTTAGTCTCCAAATGAGGAGCTAAACTTCCATTTCTTGGTATTGCTCTTGAAGCTTGTTGATTATTAAAGTTGTGAGTTATTTTCTTAACTTCTTTTCCTTGAATATTAATTCTTCCTTTAAATACTATTTCTATATCAATGTTGGGGAGTGTTACTAAGATGACAATTAGTTAACATCTTGACATTGGTTTTAGTAATAGCTATTCCTTCCTCTATGTTAATATCGGGGAGTGTTACTAAGATGACAATTAGTTAACATCTTGATATTTAACTATAGTAGGATTCATTCCCTTTTAATATTCTTCCTTGAGTATTAATTAATTCCTATTCATATTTCATATTAGTATTTTGAACATTACTTAAAGGATCAATTAGTTTTGTTTCAAATATTAATTACTACTAGAAATGATCAACGAACCGATGGTTAATCGTTGATAGTTTCACAAGTAAGTAACTTCGGTTTATTAATGCACGGTCGTGGTTAATAGACTTAAGAGGGATTAATTTTGTTGGTTAAACCGAAACCGTTGTGTTAAGGTTATCAATCTCAATTGATTTCATCAAGGAGTTAAAAGATTAAATGCTACTATCAAGTCGATATATGGCGTTGTTCTATACTTGACTAATAGTAAGGGTTAGTAATGAACGGTCGTTGTTAATAACTATCCTCGATGAATTGGATATACTCCTCGATTGAGTATTCGAGAGGAGATAAGTTATAGATATAACAATGATCGACTAAAATATATCAACAAGTGGAAAGTAGCAATACCAAGTCAATTTTATCTTTGAATTAAATCTCATATAAATCGTTCATCTTCGTGTTTAAATTTAATTAAATCACTCAACAATCAAAACCCCCCTTTACTTACTATTTATATAAAAAGAAAGTTATTCCTTTCCCTGTGGATACGAACTCTACTTCACCTATACTACGTATAAGTGCTAGTATTGAATATTATTTTGAGTGCACTCACGACAAAGTGCACGTCAAATTTGGCGCCGTTGCCGGGGAAAGGCAATTTAATTTTTCTTTTTATTTCATTTAAAAAAAAAAAAAATAGTTGAAGTATAGAGATTTCTATTTCTTCTGAGCTTTGTTTGAGTATATGGTAAGAACCCGATCTATAAACGAAATCATCTACCAAACAACCCCCCAAACGGATCAAGCCTTCGAAAGGTTTAGGAATTTATTTCCGAATACTTCTTCGGAGGAATCATCAAGTGCTAGTTCTCAATCTAGCGAGACCGAAGAACCAATCACTATGGCTCTTGAGACGAGAACATTGAGGGAGCTCACAGCTCCGAATCTTAATCAACAACCTCTATGTATCACTTTTCCAACTCTTGATACAGGGGTCACATTTGAGCTAAAATCTGGGCTCATTCATCTCCTTCCATCATTCCATGGCTTACGAGGGGAGGATCCAAACAAACACCTGTCGGAGTTCCACATTGTGTGCACAAGCATGTGCCCCAATGGTGTCTCCGAGGAGCAGATCAAACTGAGAGCCTTCCCATTCTCCTTGAAGGACACCGCGAAGGATTGGCTTTTCTATCTTCCTTCGGGAAGTATCACTACATGGCCACAAATGAAGAAGGCCTTTCTTGACAGGTACTACCCCGCTTCTATTTCATCATCACTCAAGAAGCAAATAAGCAACATCGAACAAAAAGATGATGAATCCCTATATGAATATTGGGAGAGATTCAAGAAGCTATGTGCAAGTTGCCCCTATCACGGATACACCGAACAAGACCTCATCCTCTACTTCTATGATGGTCTTGTGGATCAAGATCGTCGCATGGTGAATGCGGCGTGTGGAGGGGGCATTGTCAACAAAACCCCTTCACAAGCGAGAGATCTCATCTCGGAGTTGGCCGAGAACTCCAGACACTATAACGGGCGGTCCTCAACTCGGAGGGTTATGGCAGCAGAATCCAACAACACGTTGGAAAGTCAAGTGAACGGCTTGACAAGTCAAGTGACCGGCTTGACTTCTTTGGTTAAGGATTTCCTTTTAAAATCCAAGGCCCAAGAAGTCAAGGTCTGCGGTATCTGTACACAACAAGGGCATCCCACGGACTCATGCCCAACTCTTCAAGAGGACACCACAGAGCAAGTCAACGCCTGGGTTTCCAGGGCCACCAACAAAGGAGGTATGACCTGTTCTCAAATTCTTACAATCCCGGATTTAGGGATCATCCAAACTTGAGGTATGGAAACCCTCAACAAGCCAACCCACCTTCTCAATCGAGTATGTCTACGGAAGACATGATTCGAACTCTTGCCACTACCATGGGCACCTTACAACAAAACGTGGTGCAATTTCAACAAGAAACAAAGTCAAGCATTCAAAATTTGGAAACTCAAGTTAGCCAAATTTCGAATGCTGTAAATCGACTTGAAGCAAGAGATTCAGGTAGGCTTCCCTCCCAAACTGAGCAGAACCCAAGGCAACAAGTCAATGCCATCATGCTAAGGAGTAGCCCAGAATTACAAGCAAAGGAAGTTGAAAACGAGGAGGTTAACCACAAGGAGGAGGAACTAACGAAGACAAAATTTCCTCCGCTTTCATCATATGAACCAATCCCTCCATTCCCTGAGGCATTGAAAGACACAAGGAAGCTAGAGAGTGATCGGGGCATCTATGAGACCTTCGCGAATTGTGAGGTAAATATCCCACTCTTTAAACTAATCAAAAGTGTTCCCCGTTATGCAAAGTTCTTAAAAGAACTATGTATAATGAAAAGAAGAGATAAATTAAAGGGGAAACAAAAGGTTGAAGTTAGTGAGCATGTCTCGGCCATCTTTCAGGAAAAACTTCCAAAAAAATGTAGCGACCCAGGCATGTTCACTATTCCTTGCACGATAGGAAACGCCACATTTCCTAAGGCCTTATTAGATTTAGGGGCATCTATAAACGTCATTCCTTATTCCGTTTATAAAACCCTACAACTTGGCCCACTACATCAAACCGGTGTGGTGATTCAACTAGCAGATCGTTCTAGTACCTACCCGAAAGGTGTATTAGAAGATGTGCTAGTAGAAGTAGAGAATATGGTTTTTCCCGTCGACTTCTACGTCCTCGAAATGGGGAATGATGACCAAACAACGCCCATCCTTTTGGGAAGACCCTTCTTAAAGACCGCAAAAACAAAAATTGACGTGTCTAGTGGTTCATTAACTTTAGAGTTCAATGACCAAAAAGTAGAGTTCAATATCTTTGACTCTACGAAACAACAAATTAAAGATCAATCTCTTTCTTCTTTAAATGTTTTTGAACCACCAACACCAAATGTTTTAATTAAGTTGGGAACAAAGAAGAAGGGCCAGCCTTACTGGAAAAGGCTAAAGAAAAGAAATGACGGAAGGGATGCTCACGATCCCACATAAAATAAAAATAAAAATAAATAAAACGTCGTGCCACGACGTTAAATAAAGCGCTTCTTGGGAGGCAACCCATGCAAGGTATGTTTTCTTTTCAATTTTTTTTGTCGAATGTCAACTTTTGGGAGAATGGGAGGAAATTCTCAAAAAGAAAATGAGGGAAAAATAATATTTTCAAGGCATGGGGAAACCCCCGATCGGTCATCATCAGTTACCCGATCAGATCCATGCCGAAAAGAGGATTAAAATGGACCAAACAAGAATTCCAGGCTAATGTACCCGATCGAGTAACAGTCCTACTCGGTCGGGTATAGAGTAAAAAGGGGAAGAAGGGGGATCGAGTACCCCATACTCGATCGGCCAAAAGATAAAAAATGATCGAATACTCGATCGGGTATACCTCATACTCGATCGGGTAATCGACCCCTGGAGCCAATTTGAAAAATCCGCAAAATACCCGATCGAGTAAATTTATATACTCGATCGAGTATATTTCCAAAAAATCCTACGGCGCCTAAAATCCGATCGAGTATACCCCATACTCGACCGGGTACACAAACCTGGAACCACTTTGTTAAAAAAAAGAGGGTATACCCGATCGGGTATATTAATATACTCGATCGAGTATATTTACGGAAAATCCTACGGCGAGGAAAACTCGATCGAGTACGGGGTATACTCGATCGAGCCCGATCCCGGAACAAGAACAAAAGAGGGCATACCCGATCGAGTAATCGGGGTACCCGATCGGGTACACGAAGTTTAAACGTGAAACAGAAGCCGAAATCAGCCACTTCATCTTCTTCAAACCCCAAATTTCGAACCTTCTCTCCCAAATCCACCATTTTCACACCTTCAAACTCCCATATCTCCCTCAATACTCAACCAAATCTCCTCATACCACCACCAAAACACTCCCCTCACCCCCCATCTACAACCTCATACCAATTAATCTCTCTCTCTCTCCATTTCCAAAAATCCGAAAACCTACCCCCAAAAACCCCAAATCCGAACCCAAACTCCCAAGTTACTCAAAAATGGCACCAAAGAGGAACCAACCGGAAAGCTCTAGCTCAAGAGGACCTATCCGAGGCTATGAGGATGTGCAATTTGGCCCGGGGGATCATCGGAAGCGATTTGTGGCCATTCTAAAAAGGCAAGTCATCCCTTCTCGCTTTTTATGCCATGAAGCTCTTGATACACTAGGTTTGTTGGATGGCATGAGAGAATTGTTTGATGAATTGCATATGGGCTTGCTTTTTAATGTGCAATATAATTGTAATGAAAGGGTCATCTATGAATTTTTGAGTTCGGCCAAATTTGTGTTAGATGATGACCATTTCTATGATGATACACTCTCGTTTCGGTTGATGAACACCGAATACACTATAACGAGACGTGATTTTGCCGAGCATTTCGGGCTCCGATTCCCACATGAGAGGGAAATCCCGGACATACCATGGATGCTTACAATCTTTGGGGCAAAATGACCGGAGAACGGAATTTTAGCACGTCTCAACTATACATTAGTCACGTGCAACATCCCCTTCTCCGAATTTTCCTCAAGTTTTTGTGCAACTCTTTACTTGGCCGCCCCAACAACCATCACACTCGGATAGGGGATGTAGCCATTCTCACTCTTGCTCTTTTCCGCAATCCCGTTGAGTTCAACATTTGCAACTTGATTTGGGATCATCTACAAAAGGCTATCACGAAAGGGGGGAACATTGTTGTAGGGGGTGTTATCATGCATTTGGCTTCCAAGTTTGGCTATGTGGATAATGCCACAATCTCTAGAGATTCATTGATGCATCTTGGGTGGTTGTCCAATGCACAATTGATCTCTTTGGGTAACAAAGACCACAACGGAAACCAAAAATATAAATGGCATATGAAGTACCCCGAACCGGTCAAATACTTCCCCCTCCCTTGCGATGAGTTACCTAGACTTAGGTATAAGATGGAACCCGCCCACATCCCACATTACCTCCTCCCCAACAACATTCCACCCCATCTCCAAGCCCAAGCCGACCAAGCCGACCAAGCCGAACAACCCCATCCCCAACCGGAGCAACCCGAACACCAAGAGGATTATGGACACTTCCAACATGACATCCCCGACCCTCCTCAAAATCCGCCACCACAAGACTTTTTCCAACAACTCTTGGAGGGTCAACAATCCCTCCTAGCCGGGTTCCAAACAATGAGCCTTGATTACACCAAAATGGGAGAGCAATTCACCCAACTTCAAGGAGAAATAGGCCATTACCGGAACGAGCAACAAGAAAGAGACCGGCAATTTGATGCTTACCGGGAGGAGCAACGGTTGGCTTTTCAAAGGATGGAGGAGCAAAGGGCGGCCGACATGCAAAGGTATGAAGAAGACTACCGGAGGATGTATGGGCCGACATATTCATACATGACCCAACTTGGCGGGTTTGCCTCCATGGCCTCACCTCCACCGGCACCTTCTTGGTACAACCCCTCCGATTGGGGTAATTTTGGCGGCTCGAGTTCCGGCGGTGGTGGCTATGATGGCGGGGATACTACCATGGGCGAGGGGGGCGGTGATGACATGCACGGGAGCGGCTTTGGAGGAAGCTATTACGGAGGAGAAGGCGGGCACTAAGGATAGTGCCATGTTTCAAGTGTGGGCGAGGAAGATTTATCTTGTGGTATGTACACTCTTTTATTTCTACCTTGTACTAAGCATTATTTTCTTGTATTACTTTTACACAAAAAAAAAAAAAAGAATAATAAAAGAAATGAAATGCTAGTTAGGTTGAAAACCCAAAAGGGCAATCTAAGCAACAAGGGCTTACAAAAAATTGAGTGAGGAAGATTTATCTTGTGGTATGTACACTCTTTTATTTCTACCTTGTACTAAGCATTATTTTCTTGTATTACTTTTACACAAAAAAAAAAAAAGAATAATAAAAGAAATGAAATGCTAGTTAGGTTGAAAACCCAAAAGGGCAATCTAAGCAACAAGGGCTTACAAAAAATTGAGTGAGTGGAAAGAGAAGAAAAGAGATGCTAGGATGAAAACCTGAAAAGGCTCCTAGGCAAAATGAGAGATAAGAGAGAAATTTGTGTTTTGCAGGACATCATCTCTTGGAGAAGAGGAAGAGAAGAGGAAGAGAAGAGGAAGAGAAGAGGAAAGAAGAAGAAATAAAGGGCATAGAGGACTAACAAACCCAAGAGAAATGTTGTTCTATGAACTAATTTACAACCTTGGTGGTCTTATGCTCTTTCTTACTATTCTTGAAACTTATGATCTTTGATTGAACATTGTGTAAACATTTGGTTTTACTCGAGGTCGAGTAAAGAAACTAAGTGTGGGGGAGTTGACATTCATGTTATTTCCATGTTTATGTTTGTGCTTTTGATTAGTTTTGAGTGATTATTACTCTAGAAATTACACACTTTTGGTGTAATAGTTTAGTTTGTAAAATGTTTGTAAATTGTTTAGATTAGATTTGTTCTGAGCTCAAACAGGTCCAAGACCACTCTAGGGACCATTGGTGAACATCACAAGTGGAAGGAAGGTGCAAAAATTCCAAAACAAAATGAAGATCCTGATTTTTGGTATTGTACCCGGTCGAGTATACCCTATACTCGATCGGGTAAGTTGCTGAAAAGTCAAATCGAATCAACCCGGGAACAAGGCAACATGCAGGAAGATTTTTAACTCGATCGCGTATCCATACCCGATCGGGTAGCCGACATACCCGATCGGGTATGACCCCAGATTTTCAGTTTCGAGGAAACTAACCCTTACCCGATCGGTCGAGCTGAAAACCCGATCGGGTACACGACCCTGCAAGCCTAAAAAGCCTATAAATACACCCCATTTCCTCCACAAGAAAGGCACCAATTCCTTTATACTCTTAAGCTCAGTTTAGAATAGCATTTCTTTATATTTCTTTTAGCATGTTTAGTCTCCAAATGAGGAGCTAAACTTCCATTTCTTGGTATTGCTCTTGAAGCTTGTTGATTATTAAAGTTGTGAGTTATTTTCTTAACTTCTTTTCCTTGAATATTAATTCTTCCTTTAAATACTATTTCTATATCAATGTTGGGGAGTGTTACTAAGATGACAATTAGTTAACATCTTGACATTGGTTTTAGTAATAGCTATTCCTTCCTCTATGTTAATATCGGGGAGTGTTACTAAGATGACAATTAGTTAACATCTTGATATTTAACTATAGTAGGATTCATTCCCTTTTAATATTCTTCCTTGAGTATTAATTAATTCCTATTCATATTTCATATTAGTATTTTGAACATTACTTAAAGGATCAATTAGTTTTGTTTCAAATATTAATTACTACTAGAAATGATCAACGAACCGATGGTTAATCGTTGATAGTTTCACAAGTAAGTAACTTCGGTTTATTAATGCACGGTCGTGGTTAATAGACTTAAGAGGGATTAATTTTGTTGGTTAAACCGAAACCGTTGTGTTAAGGTTATCAATCTCAATTGATTTCATCAAGGAGTTAAAAGATTAAATGCTACTATCAAGTCGATATATGGCGTTGTTCTATACTTGACTAATAGTAAGGGTTAGTAATGAACGGTCGTTGTTAATAACTATCCTCGATGAATTGGATATCCTCCTCGATTGAGTATTCGAGAGGAGATAAGTTATAGATATAACAATGATCGACTAAAATATATCAACAAGTGGAAAGTAGCAATACCAAGTCAATTTTATCTTTGAATTAAATCTCATATAAATCGTTCATCTTCGTGTTTAAATTTAATTAAATCACTCAACAATCAAAACCCCCCTTTACTTACTATTTATATAAAAAGAAAGTTATTCCTTTCCCTGTGGATACGAACTCTACTTCACCTATACTACGTATAAGTGCTAGTATTGAATATTATTTTGAGTGCACTCACGACAAAGTGCACGTCAAACCTACTGGTCCTATGAGGACTCAACCTATCGACCGGAAACAGAACCGGTTGAGACCCCTTACGAAGGGGATGACGATGATGTAAGTGATGAGGAGGAAAATGGCTCCTTAGCACGGATCGAAGCACTACTCCAACAGTATCACCGTGATCGTGAAGAGAGGAGGCAACGCCGAAGACGCCGAGCGGGGCAACCTTCGGGCATGAATTCAAGAGGAGGAAGTCATGGTGCATCTAGAGTCCATGTGGAACCACATGGAGGCCAAAATGATGGAGGTCCAACCATAAGGATCTCCAAATTTATCAAAGAAGCAAGATATTTGGGGTGCAAACCCTTTGATGGAGCAGGGGACATTTCAGTTGCAGCACAATGGATCAAGAGGCTAAATGAAGCAGCCCTTGACATGCAAATCGCGTCGAATCTCAAACTGAGAATTGCGGTAAGGTTGCTCGAGGGGATGGCATCCAAGTGGTGGGATGGAACCAAGAGCAAGTACGGTGAGACCGTCGTTTGGGAGGACTTCCAACGGGAGTTCTTTGCCCAATATTATTCGGATTTTGAAGTGAACAAGAAGGTGAGGGAATACACCCTCCTAACCCAAGGGGGTAACATGATAGTGAAGGAACTTGAGTACAAGTTCCGGGATCTCGCCGACTACATACCGGAGTATGCTTGTGACGAGAACCGAATGGTAAACCACTTTTGGGATGCTCTTGACTT